CAGATCAGTGTGAGATGAGCATGGACAGAGATTAGTGTGAGATGAGCGTGGACACAGCACAGTGTGAGATGAGTGTGGACAGACATCAGTGCAAGATGAGAGTGGACAGAGATACGTACAAGAGGAGCATGGACAGAGATCAGTGTGAGCAGAATGTGAATTTCTTCAGTTTATGGGAACAGAAACCTCACATGTGAAAATGACACTATATGATCAAGGTGAGCTCGGGGTAAATGGAAGGCATGTCTCAATGCGACAGAGGTTGACATGGGCATCAAGGGCTGCCTACCTGGAGCTGGGGCTCGTGGAACATGTCCGGCCGCGGCGCGTTGAGCACATCATCCGCCAGCTGTGCCCGGCTGTCGATGTTGACAGGCGTGGTGGCCTGGCTGGACAGGAAGCTACTGTAGATTTCGCACGCTTTCTGGGAAAGCTGGAGACATGGGGGGGGGGAACATGTCTCTGCTCATCAGACAGACCTCTGTAGCGAAATGGTGCTGTGTATCTCCACAAATCCCTACACCTACCGATGTTACTCCTGGTGACAGAGCAGCGTGTGTGTACTGCATCTGAGCTCTACAAGAGCTGAACGAACAACCATGGAAAAAAAACTCAATCTAGTTTTTAAAAGTTGACTCAATCTTGTGCTTTAAACTGTGCAATTATTTTGTTACGACAATTTGTTAAGCATTAATAATAGAATAACTTGCTATCGAACCTCGTTCTGATTAATCGATCCTTTATATATTATTCAAGGTCCAGCAAACTTTGCTCATTACCAACTGCTTTCAACGGTATTAAAGCTGGGCAAGTGCAGAGCCCCATTTAAACAGTGAGACTGAATTAAAACTCATTATAGGATAAGTAATGAAGGACTCAGTGTTTTCCAAGCATACACTGGTTTATATCAATGTTACAACTCTACCTGCTTCTTGTCATTTTCAGGGAGATGGCTGAAAGATTCACAGGCTTGCCAGAACAATATATTCTCTTCACTAAACTCTTTCTTCAGAAATTCCTGGGGGGGAAACAGATGCACAAATGTAGTCGTTTCAAAGAGCAGCTATGTTTTGTAATAGTGATCCTATGAGTCAGCAAGGTGACTATGCCTCTCCCCCCGCCCCCAACCCCACCCCTACCCTGAGGACGCACCGAGAAGTAGTGAATTCCCTGGGGGTCCTGCAGAAGACGCTCAAAACCAGCTGCCCAGCAGCCCACAGAACGCTCCCCACTATTCAGGTTCACCTCGCTGGTGCCAACCTTCATGCCGGCTGGGGACGGTGATAACATGGTGTTAATGGCCTCGGTGCAACACCAGCACGTGTCCGTAGGCACATGAGAGCAACTCACAACACTTAGTTCTGCAGAGCCAATGGATCAGGATGTTCTCTGTAGTATTTCAGGTTTGGTGCCTTGCTCAAGGCAAACAGTGACAAAAATACACGGCTCTTTAACCACCTACGGTCTTCAAAACAATACTCAGCACAGTAAATTGAACGGGAAAGAAGATCACCCGCCCATCTGCCTTCTGCTAAATAATCCCTGAGAAGCAAAGAAGCTAGTGACTGTAGTCATTGTTGGGCTGGTGTATTTGAAGGGTGCATGAACTTACCGCCTCCAGAGAGCGCAGAAGACTGCAAGAGAGAGAGAGAAACAAGAAAGAGGTCAGTGCGAGAGCTGGACCTTCTTCCGTGGCACTGCCAGGTTCAGTGCTGGCTTAGTCGCTGCTGTCAGGGAGCCATGTGGGCTCCTCAGCAATGACCAGCCTCTCCTTGACCCCATCCTTCCCCTTTAGGGCCCAAACTATGGGCTAGAGACAACCGGCCTACAGTTAAGATGCCTTAGGTGATAAAATAGGGGAGGAAGGAAGTCACATCACTATTCCGTTCACAACTGTAATATCAAAAAGCCAAAAATCACACAAACATATGTGAAGTCCTGCTTCACATTCACATGTATGTAGGTAGATACATATTTTATTGTCCCCATAGGGAAACATACAAAGGGACTCTACAAAGCTGGACCCTCCAAAAACACCACTCCTTCATACAAAAGACAACAGACAAAGTAGTAAATAAACAAACATGCTCACAAAAAAATAAAATGAATAAATGAATGACTGAAAATGCTCATTATGTCTTTGGTTATTTAAGACTATTGTTCCAAATACTGATAGATATGGGAACGAAAACGAGTTCTTGAAAGCATGTAGTTTATGTGAAAGCCAAATATATACATATATACTAAATCCAAGATACTAGAATGTACATCTGAAGCTCCTATTAGAGTTTTGAAAGCATCTCCAGCGAAGAGAAAAGGACAGGAACACACCCCCCTATGGGCACCTCACTGCCAGCTAGCTAGCAGCTCCTGTGGGCGAGGAACTGTTCCCATTAGCTTAAAAGGTTCAAAGGGATCTACAATGACATGATATGGAGCCTTACTCTTCTTACTGTTTGTAGGCTTAACTGACACCTTTAACTGAAACAGAGCAGGTTTTTTCTATAGAGATTCATTTTATATAATACCCATGTTGACAACAGGGGCTTCCTGGGACTCCAACCAACATCCTTTAGGCTGAAAGCACACGAAGGCAACACAACATTGGGAGCTATATACACAGCACTCAGAAGATGCTGGGCTCAGATGGTTGGTAAAGCTTTGGCAGGATGTGAGAAACCTTCCAGAGGGGCTCAGCTAGGAACCGCCCCCAAACTACACCCCACTGCCGCTCCTCCCTGGATGTTATTATCTGGACGTGTAGTGGAAGATTTAAAAAAAATAAATAAAAAAGATTAAAAAAAATTCTAAAGCGAGACTCAAAATAGTCAGCTCTGTCACTTCTACCCAAGCGCCAACTACTCGCTGTTCCCAGCCACCTCCTGTTCTGAAGTATACTCTATTCCTAGCCGGAGAGAGGTGATAATGAAAGCAGGGTAGGAAATAATGCCGAGCAAAACCAGAGCAGAGGCCCGGAAAAAAAATACAACTGCTGAGGGCAGAGATGTTAAGACTTCAGGAGCATTGTTGGTGTTCGTAAACTCAGATCCGTTGACTTTTGTTAATTACCAATAATGAACAATCTCATTTGTTAGGAAAAACAAGCATGACAATCTGTATACAATGAAAGTTTCCACAGGGAACATTACTTAACTTTTTTGTGTTTAACAATGAAGGTAAATCACCTGGTACTGAACAAATGACTGGTAATCAGGAAGAACTTCCCAGTGAGCGGGTAAGAGTAAACCATTCGATACTCCCTCCACCTGTTTAGGCAAGTCTCTCCAGCAAACTGGCATAAAGAAAGCAACCATTTCAGATGCCTGTCTTTCTTAACAGACAGTACATTAACAAAGCAGAACAACCACTGACAAACACATCTCTGTCTCCTCAAGGTCTGAGCCACCTGAAACATCTGGGAACCAGCCCGTTAGATTCATCCCACATGTTGCCAACCAAACTGAGCAGCTACGTAAACAGCCGGACCACCCGGTGTCACTTACAGAGGGGTATGCTTTTCTGAAGGACAATCTCTTTTTGAAGCTCATTTTCCCGTGGGCTTACAGACCGGCCGCTCCGTTCTTCTGCGTGCCTGAGTGACTTCCCTGTGAGATTGGGTGGCCGTGCCCATACACGTCGGGCCCAAACCTGCCCGACAACGTCGCGATCCCCGCCAACGCAACGCACACTAGCACATGAATCCTGCCTTTCTCTCTCTCTCTCTCTCTCTCTCTCTCTCTCTCTCAGGCGGGCCGGCTTTCACTGCTACCATGGGACGCCAGTGACACACAGTATTCTCCAGCAAACCAGTAATCTATGTGGAATGACTTTTGACTGACAAGTCAAAGGTCATCGAAATGTCTTAAAGCCATTCACACTGTCCACAATTGTCCCACGACACAGGCTAGCAGCATGAATAAATCTATGACAAATACCGTTCACCGTTGGGCCCTTGAGCAAGGCCCTTAACTCCGAAGTGCTCCAGGGACTGGCTGACTCTGCTCTCTCAATTATACGTCACTATGGATAAAAACGCCTGCTAACTAAATAACTGTAATCCCTCCAGCTTCCATACCAGCTAGTTCTATGCAGGGGATCAGAGTCTATCCCTGAAGCTACAGGGCAGAGAACAACCAAAGGTAGGGCACCAGCTCACCACAGGGCACAAAGATATCCCTGTAGACAATTAGGTTACCATGTTTTTGGACTGTAGGGGGAAACCAGCAAACCCACAAGGGACACCATAAGGACACAGGGAGAAATGCATGCTCCGCACACATGGGAAAGACTCGAACCCTAGTCCCAGAGCAGTGAGGCAACAGTCCTAAATACCATGCCAACCCCACATTGCAATTGTAACTGTAAATACATGATCCATTAAGTTGGGCGACGCACACAAGTATCATGAGACATAATAGGATGAGAAAACAACATGTCAGCCCACAGTTACCCTTAAGGTCAGTCCCAGTGCATCATGGGGGATTTTGCACTCTTCTGGAATGGACCATCTTTATTTGATTCATCCCAAAAAGCTTCTGTTGGCATCATGTTGTGCTGTCTGTGCTGGTCACTGTAATATTTGCACGTTGCTCGTCCTCTCCTCCAGCAAACTGGATGGACCACAATTCCCCATGTGCTGTTTGAAAAAAACCACAGCATCCACGAGGCCTTTGACGCAGAAATCCTGCCATTCCTGAGATGCTCATTACATGATTAGCTGACAGGAAACAAAACAAACCACGTTCCATTTCCAGGAGTCAGAAAATCACCACCAGTGATGGAGATATTAATGGTGAATTATGGGTAAACGTTTACACCGACACTGTAGAGGAAGACTAACACAAATCCTGTGCAAATCTTCTTTATAAGGGGTTGAGTCAGTTGCAGTGTAAATGTTTTTATTTAACTGTATCACCTTTGTGTTTTGTGTAAACCACAGCAATTCAGAAAAGGAATTTGAAAATAAAAAAACCTTAAAAACTTCGTCTTCATGCTGGTGTTCTAGTAATCAGATCTGACTAAACAAAAGGACAATTTTCGAACAATATCGGCTGCACGTTTTGTCGTGAGCTGTTTGTGCCACTTGTCGGAGATGCCATTTAAGCCCATCGCAAATATTAAATATTCCATTCAGATATAAACAAGCATTGTTGACAGCGAGACGATATTTTTATAGAATATCCATGCACGCACACGCAGTTTCAACGATAAGCCCCCACACTCACACCCCAGGGTGGAATGTCAACTACAAGACTTGCGTCACTATTCCAGGCAGCTGTCATATGGACTCACTGAGGTACACCCAGTCACATATAAAGAATTTTCTTATCCTAAATTTAATTACCAGTTCAGTTGTCACATTGATGCCTAATACAGTAAACAGGATTCCCTACATTCTCTTAGTAGGTTTAGTCCAATCACTTTGCTTTATTTTTGTTGTTTGGCATGGTACAACTAAGGTAGGCACTACAATTAATGATCAGTGTCATTTGGGGTTTCCTAATTTAAGTTACAAACTGGAGACATAAGTATGAATCATCACCAGTCCCAGAAAAAAAAACCTGAATGGCTAAACCACAGGAAATGATTCCTCAAAATACTATTCAGATTTGGAGTTATATAGATGTTTCCAGACTGTAAATGTAAAAAAAGACCGAAGGAGTAGGTTTGGTTTCAACCTTAGTAGGGGCCAAATCAGCCCCAAACCCCCGAACCCCCTGTCCCTACTGTCCATACTCAAACTGATACCCTTGAAAATTATGCATATTACATGCATATTAAAATCAAAAGATTACAGTGCCAACCAGAAATGGTCACACACACACACAGACACACAAAGACTTGTACTCATATGTTTGTGGGGACCGTCCTCGTCCATTCATTTATATGGGCATAACCCTAATCCCACCTATGGCAACCTTAGCCTCTACCCAGCCCTAACCTTAACCTTAAGTAACCAAGGAAACTGCAAGTCTTTTGGCAGTTTTAGTTTTTTAGTTGCAGTCACAGATTTTTATAAAACTGAATTTACCCTTGTGGGGGACAAAAAAAATTGTCCGCACAATGTCAAAATAACAGGTTTTTATCACATTGTGGGGACATTTGGTCCCCACAATGTAATATAGACATGACCAACCACACACACACACACACACACACCATAGCCTTTTAGAAAACGCAAGACATTCGCAGACAACTGAGAAGAAACAGGAGTCGACAGCTCTGTGGGTCTGGGGGCAAACGAGCTGGATGGAGCTCTGGGATTTGATCCCATACCCCTCCGAGGCAAAGACAATTCAGTATAAATAAACAGTATATATAGAAATGTGAAATTAGAGTTAGTCATGGATCACAAGCTGCCCAAAGCTTAAAAAAAAATGAATAAGGCCCAGACAGTGACAAAATTCACTGTGTCATATCAGATGTCACTGCAGCCTGTCAGGTTTTGACAGCCCTGTCACAGTGACAAGATGAAAAATGGCACGGGCCATTCTGTGTCAGGCCGAGGTGGCCTGAGTGAGTGTGTGGAGTCTCCGATTCCCCCTGTCTGTGAGGCCGATGTTTCAGCCCGCACGAAACAGGTGCAAAGATGGACGAGCCAACGTGCTGGACATTTTGCAAAATGTCGGGTTCGTACGCTCTTTAATGTCCTACCTCCTGCCAAGGGAGATCGTTTTCCATGAAATGTTCTCCCACGCATTTAAAACAGGACGCTGCAGCAGGACTACAAGCTGTGTGGTGTCTCTACCCTAATGCTGCCCTCTTCTGGTGGCTCCCAGGACAGCTCCGTGACTACAGGGGAAGCCCCTCTCTACACATCAGATGTATAGTGTTGCCAAATAAATTAAAATGAAATGCAACTACCAAACTAAGCATTTTTTTAGCATTTTTATAAGCATTTAAAGTAGCAAAATCCATGTCATCTTATAATACGGATGATTTAGAGAAACAAAATCCTTCGAGCTAGGATAAGTTCGGATAAATCCTTTGAAAATCCATCGGGTAATGAGGCTCCACACTTCAGCTCAAGTTAATGGCATATTTAAGAGCAAATCTGAACAGACACACCAGAACTCCTCCATCCAAACAAGGCGATGGAGAAACTAGACCAGCCGATGCGACACACCTAAAAAGCGACGCAGAAACCACCTGTTCATTTACACCCTTCCTCAATCAACGCTGTGTGATGCAAGATCAAAGCACCGCTCAGAGAATGCAATACGCACGGACCTCGCCCGCAACACTGAAGTTAGACATTGTTAAGTGGAACTGAGTCAATGTCAGAGGTATGGATTGCATGGAGGACTCCTGAGCCCCTGGAGTCACTCCTGTTGGAGTCGTGTTGAAGGCGGCCACCTGAGTGGTGAGGGGTGCCCGTACTCACTCCGCTGGAGCTGCCCAGACAGGTGTGCTCCATGTGCCTTTAACTCCCCATGGGAGTCATGCCACCAGCCAGCGATGTGTGGATGAAGAGCAGCCGGCCTCGAGATCTTGTGTGCGGCTACCCGTCCAAGCAGTGCATCTCTACTCTCACACTCCTCTGCTCTCTCTTTCTCTCTCTCTCTCTACTCTCACGCTCCTTTGCTCTCTCTCTCTCTCTCTCTCTCTCTCAGTCTCCCTCTCTCCTTTCCCTCCTCTCTCTCTCTCTCTCACACGCTGTCCTACCTCCCTGCAGTTTCTCTGATGCCCAGTGGGGGCATACTGCCACAGTGCTCTCACTGTGTTACATGAGCGTGTCATTCAGGATCTCCCGCAGCTGCTCGAGTGTACTGCGCTCCGTCACTCCCTTGACTGTCCCTAGGTAAAAGGACTGCTTTGATCTGACAGAAATAAAGCGACATCCATGGGATGGTGCTGGCGGTGGCTTCCGAAAGACATTAAAACAAACATGGCCGCTAGACTCCATCGTTCAGCAGCTACTCTGACGCTGAAGGCCAAATGCACACGTCCAACACCACACCCACACACACTCTATCGGGGTGCATTCTGACTCACCCAGGACCCAAGCAGTGATGGATGTCCCCGCGATGAAGCAGTGGGAGAAAGTCCTCCTGAGGACCAGCATGCAGAGCAACGAGAATCGTAATGAACTGCTTCATCTGAGCTTGCACCAACTGAACATCACACTCCTTGAAATGCTTGATCTGAAATGCTGGAATTTGTGGAAATACAAGCTATATACAAGGTCTCCAATACACTTCAGTCAATAATTCTTATAAATGAGCTATTAAAAAGAGGACATTTTGTTCTCCTCATTCCACCTGTTCCTTATTTCATGAAAAAAAGAGTGTTGGACATTGCACCTTAAAAATGGCAGGATGCCGCTAATTAGCTGAAGGATCTGTGCCCAGGACTGCAATCCCTTGGCCAGCAGTGTAACCATTACATTGTTGGGTCCTTAACCCCATCTTCTCCAGGGTTGCAGGATGCTGCCTGACCCTATTCCCTGACTCCTAGCTTTCTTCACTCGATACTACAAAAGCATCTGCTAAACATAAACATCTATAGCTGTTGTTCCGGTACAGGGTCACTCGGAGCCTGGGGCCCTTCGCAGGAAGCACAGGACAAATGATACCCCTGGATATGAAGCCAGGCACATACTCACACAGAAAGAGCAATCTGGAAATCCATGCAGACAACATGCAAACAGAGCAGAACTGGAACCTTCAACAATGGCGGCATGAGGATGCATTGTTGCCTGAACATTTGTACTTATT